AGATGCTTAATCTTCAAAACATTGAGAGGTTAGCCTTACACACTTATGTAATAAAACCATTTATTGAAGGTGGGCAGGATAACCAAATCATGGTCCCAGGCCATCATCCCAAGATAAATAATGCAGATAACCTTAGAGGGATACTCTAAAAGTCCACTGCTGTCCATTACAGGTGAATGGAAATGGGTGTCAAGATGCAGCAGCTAAAGGAGTACTTAAAAAGAGAATTAGCAATGTAGTGTTACAGAAGTAATCAGAGATCAACAGTGGAAGTCAGGTGAGGGGAGGGAGTTTAATTTGACACTAGCAGGACTGACATGAATCAAGAAGTTAGATCACCTGTTCAAGTTTTGGGGGGTTTTTATACTCAAGTGAGGAATGTAAGCAAAAGGTACAAAGCATATGCATGGTAATCAAGTAAGATAACAGAGGGCGACAAAGGTAATAGAAGTGCAAAGTTTACAGGAATGCAGAAGCCTTAAGTCCACACAGGAATGTGACAGTTTTTGAAAACAAAGACTTCTTATCCTGGATAAGCACAGGGGGCAGGAGAAGAGTCCGGTTTACTTCTCCATTACTGGCGTTCTCAATTATCATCACATTGCAAAATCCCGGATAAGTTCTACTTCCACAATAGTAGCATGGAAAGATTTTATCACTTGTAATAAGTGGTCTGTCAAATAAGCAATATTGGGAACAGTGGCATTGGGTGGGTGTTTGATTTTGACGCACAGAGTACAGGAACAAGAGGAGAGAAGGGAGACTACACCAGACCTCAGACCAGACTGTGTTTTATTCAAGCACAGGAGGGACCTTCCCACATGCTGGAGGCACCTGTGCCACAAGAGGGGGTTGTTGGCGATAATATAGCTGTTACTGTCTACATGCAAATCAGAGGCACTCTTGAGAAATTTATGGCCCCTTATGCCCCCTTCTTGCTGGCACCATTTGCTCTGGCTTAACTCAAGAGACAGAGGATTTATGAACTCTTCTTGGGACCAGTTGCTCAAGGAAATAGACTGTCTTGGGAAACACACAATCTCAACAGTCCTCCCAGGAGGGAGGGAAGTGGCTGATTGATAATGCCAGCAGTTTCAGAGAACTTCTGGTTTTCTGCAAGGGGCATTCTATCAATGGAGACACTATGTTACTGGGCTCTCTATAATCCACTGTCAGAATTTTTTCACACCAGGCACACTGAAAGGGCTTTGGGCTATACAAATAACCTCCCCTCTTTGTAGCTCTTTAATAGTTTCTGATTTCATTATGGTCCCCAAGGGGTCTGTACTATTCTATTCTCAGGCCTTACTTGGAGTGGGCAACTTTACATGCTCCTGGTTTGCCTGAACATGCATGACTGCCTTTAAAGTTCACATTTTCAGCTGAAAACTCCATAGTTGTGTATGCAGCACGGCATCCACTCCAAGAATGTTTTCTTACAGTGGAAAGATGCACAGTATTCCACTGGGGGTGGGGATAGTTGTGCATGCCTACACCAAACTTGATAGAATTGTAGGAGAGCCATAAGCTTCATTAGAGGAACCCATTCAAACATAAATTCTGCTTCATTGCAAATACCTTCATTCTGAGGAAGGGATTATGGGCCCTTTGGTGGACTGAATAAAGGAACACATTCCTTGCCTGTTGTAGGTCTGGCTCTGACTCTTCTAAATTTTGAAGTCCTTCCTTTTCCTGCTCTCCTAAATCTAACAAAGCTTATGTACAAAATTCTGTCCTCATATCCATTTACTGCTGCCTATTTGACCTGGTGCTTTAGGACTTTGCTATGAATGAAGGCATAATTTATTCCAGTATCCACTTAATATGCAAGTATTTGCACATTACTAGGTGTTCAAAAAAACTCTCAAGTTAACAAGCGGTCTCAGGTCTCTATGCAGGGCCCACTCTTGCAGTTACATTGGGCACCCTGTCCGAAGAATAGTTGAGGTAGTTCCTACCCCAGGATAGCTTTAGCTCCCATAGTAGGGTAGTAGGAGATGTTCCTTCGTTCAGTCCTTTAGTAAACTGCTGGTCAGGATTTAAATCCTTTCAAAGAGTCACAAAGACAACATTTTTACGTAAGTTTGGTTTTGTTTCTAGTTTTTTCTTTTTTCTTTTTTTTTTTGTGTGTCTTTTTGTTGTTGTTGTTGTTGTTTGTTTCATTTAGGAACACAACTCAACACAAATCTTGTCACATTTGCTTCGAGTAACCCAGACAGGACCCATAGCAGTCTTGAGGTCCATAGCAGATTAACTTCTTTCTTAATTCTCTTCTGAACACAGTCCTATCCAGCCCAGTGAATTAGGTGTCAAACAGGGCCTCCCTCATGCCTAATTACTTCAATAATATCTTTATCATACTCCAGTCACTGCTGTTCATGGGGATTTCAGCTGTTGAAAACCAAGTGTCATTAATAGTTTGTATAAGCCCATCCATCAGGGACTGATTTCCCCCATACTGACTCAAGTTATGCAGGTTAAGAAGGGATGGGGAGTTACATTACTCTGTTCCTTCACATACACTCAGAATGATCCAATTTCCTACAGCCTTATGAGACATTTTGTATTTGTAATCAAACATTAAGTAAATTTGAAACAATAACTTTTTAAAATAATATACACATTCTGCTTTTATGTTATTTGAGCTGCTGTTGGCATGAATAAAGATTTCTAGAGGTAATACACAAGTTATTTAACTGAATTTAATCACTTCACCATGCCTATGTACTTTAAAACATCATTTTGTACCTCATAAATGCGTACAAATCTTCACCAATTTAAGTCATTTTGACTTACTTGTTTTATAAGTGATAAAAGTTGTTTTTTTATTTTCCTAAGAGGAGTGAGAGGTGAAAGTGAAGTGGCCCATAAATAAAATGTGCTGTACTTTCAACACAACAGAAGCAAACTACAGCATCCTATTCTTCACTCTTTTTACCTGTACCCTCCATTTCTTTTTTTTTTTTACATTTTTATGTTAAAAGTATCTTATCTACATGTATTTATGTACATAATGTACATTCTTAGTGCCCAAAGAGGACAGAAGAGGGTGTTGAATATCCAGGAGCAGGAGTTATAGATGTTTGTGAGCCACCTTGTGGTGCTGGGAATCTAATCTGGACTCTGCAAGAATAACAAGATCTTTTAACCACTGAGCTATCTCTCTAGCCTCCCCTCTCTAGTTCTTAAATTGTCATTCCTTTTCATTAACAAGGTTATTATCCTACTTTTTCAAACTTCTGTTGTCTCATTCCTGTCTAAAATACATTTTTTTTCTTGACCTCTAAATTTCTTAAGATTATAATCTATCAATGGTAGGTCCTGTTTCTATATTCACAAATTCTATGAATCCTATATTTATAATTCTTTTTGTGAATGAACAAATGAGTTAATGAATGAAGGAACAAAGGACTGAGTTACTCTTCCATGACTCTTTTGTTGGTTTCTGAGATGTATGTCACGGTTAATTCCAAGGTTTGTATTCCAACTGTTTCTTTGTATGTCTCATTCTACTACTGAATTTACCCCATGGGAATGAATACATTTTCTACATTCTTAAAATTTCATTTTCTTTTCTGATATAAATGACTAATAGTGGGATTATATGAGGATTAAATGTGATAATTAAATGTGAAGCTCTTAACCTGAGTCATAGAGAATAACTAAGGAAAATTAACAATTGTGCTGAAACTAAAGGTTTTAACTCGTATTGTAACTGATATTTTCCTGACTTATGAGTATGAAGAATGAATATGAAGAAGATTCTAAAGGCATTTTTTCTTTTCTTGTTTTTAGAACCTATTCTCAAAATATGTGTATGTCCATCTTTTACACATCACACAGCACACAGAATAATATTGTCAGAGAACAACACTTTAACATTTTTAACTCTGAAAGCTCTGCATGTTTATCAAAATAAAATAGAAATAGCAACGCAGCCTCTCATCATAGATGCCTTTGTTATAATTAAAATATTACAATGATTTCTTGTAGTATTTTACAATGTAAATTCATCCTGAACATACAGTTGTAACATGATGAGTTAAAAGCTTTAGTGATTTAATGTATTTTAGATAGTGTGGAAAATTAGGAACTTTGTGAAAATTGAAAAACTCATTTCCTAATGAGATTTAGGCAAGGTTGCAAGGAATGTCATTAAAAATGTGAAAAATAAAATAGAAACAAAACTCAGGGGCAGTAAACAGAATCAGCTTAAATATTATTTAAGAATATTTTAACTAAAACTAAGTTTTCTGCTGGACTCTTCTGTCTTTTAAAACTAGAAAAAATATTCTTCTTTGAAATTTTTACATTTATTTCATTGTCTAGCTCCTCTCCCTCTTTCTCCCTCTTTCCCCGCCCCTGCTCTACCCCTTCTCTGCATGCATCCATTGCATGCACACTCTTGTGTATGTGTGGGGGCACTTGTCCCACACAGTGTGGGTGTGGAGGTCAGAGGACCACCTTTAGGAGTTGGTTCTCTCTCTTCTTCATGTGTGTTCCAGGAATGGAACTCAGGTTGTCAGGTTTGTGGCAAGCACTTTTGCCAATTTAGTAATCCCATTTGTCCAGAATATAATTCTTGATTCCATGGTAAATAGTTTCAAACAGTCATTATTGCAATCACAATTTGACCAATATATTTAGGAAGGTATAACTGACATAAAATGAATCTCCAAAGCTTAAAATATAAGCAATTACAAAATGTTTAATTTGCATAAAAATTTCATCAACTGGATGTACGGTAGTTTCTTCAATTTTTATTCCATGATTATTCTTCCTTTTTCTAGCATCATAAAGGCTGTTTTAGTAATCTGGAAGCACATAGAAATGAGTAACAGTAAATAGTAAGTCAAGTCTTCATAATAATGAATGCTTTCAATTGTAATGTAATCAGTACAGAAACAGTTCTCATGTGTAAAATCTTTGTTTAGTTACAGATGTTCTGCTTGTGACTTAGAACCAACCTTTCTTTTTCTTTTCTACATTTCTCTCTACAGAAAGCTGACCTTGCGGTTGCTCCACTGGCTATTACCTATGTTCGAGAGAAGGTCATCGACTTTTCCAAGCCCTTTATGACACTTGGAATAAGTATTTTGTACCGCAAGCCCAATGGTACAAACCCAGGCGTCTTCTCCTTCCTGAATCCTCTCTCCCCTGATATCTGGATGTATATTCTGCTGGCTTACTTGGGTGTCAGTTGTGTGCTCTTTGTCATAGCCAGGTAACATGCTCACTTTTGTGATTTTTTTGGCAATTGTTACCTCTTTTTTCTAACTAATAATTGTCAAAAGTCACAATCTACTTTTATTTTCCTTATTTCACATTGGGTGCTGAAGAACTATGAGCTTTTGAGTCCCATCCACTTACTGCAAAGGCCACACTGCCTTTGGGGCATAAAGCATGCTGGTTGTGTCGGTAAGCTATAAGTGTGGTAGGGTTAGTCTTCTCAACCAAACTCTAAAAGCAATCCAAATTACTATTGAAAAAAATATTTCTTTATTTTGAAGCTTTCTTTGAACCAAAATAATAAATATTTTGCAAACATGAAGTAATAATTCAAACATTAAAAAAGCAAAATAATAAAATTTAAATAGTAGGCACTATTTTCAAGGAATCAAGACAAATTTAAAAGAAGCATTTTAAGTGTAAAGAAAGGACCATGCTTATCTATACAAAATTTATTTTTTGCAGAGTAAATATACTATAAATATACTAATGCTTATTTTAATTTACATATATTTTTCAAGAGTTAGGATTAGAAAACTGAATGCTTAACTAGAGAATGTACAATTTAGTATTTTTATAATGCCTTTTAAACATTACGCTAATCCTCACTCTATTCGTTGCCTTAATGAAGATGAGAATTGTGCCTCAGGATTCAGAATTTTATTGCCTCCATAATGTCACCAAAGCCACATATTCATTATATTCCTTCAATTTCTATATTTTGCAAAAAAAAAAACTATTTCTCTAAATCGAATTAGAATTTTATATGTGAATTTTGACATTGTTGAAAATTGTCCCTAACTATATGCATTTGTGTGCTCAAAAGTCAAAATCAGACATGCAAATTTCACTTTTTCAACTTCATTACAAAAGTCTATGGATTAACTTTCACCCTGCCTGTGTACCCAACTGAGCAGCTATTCCACACCAGCAAAAACAGTTCCTTTATGTCTGCAGGTGCACCTATTCCTTCTTAAAAAAACAAACAAACAAAAAAAAAAACTAACAAATGTTTCCAGAGAACATGTTAATAAAGTCTAGAAGGAAGAATCCTGACAGTCATGAGGACCTGTATGAGCACCAGTCAAACAGCCTGGAGTTTTCTGCAACTTTTGAACTAAACTCTTGAATTACCTCAAATTTGTATTGGGAATTTTAGATATTCCTATTTCCCAAGTCCAAATCTTCTGAAATTAAAATTAAAATGTATTTCAAAGACATAGTTTATTTTCCAGCTAAAAATACATCATCTGATAAGGACACAGGGTGTATTTGTACTTATCTACTTTTCAAAACATTTCTATAACTCTCATTTTATGTCAACGTGACATACTTTGTCAATATTACCAGTATTGATTAAGTAGATAAGGTAACCCTCATTGAAATAAATGAATTTTTGTTATCCCAATTGAAAATATGAAGTTATGCAACATACAATGCTCCACTTCTTGTATGTTCTGGGCAGCAGGTACTGTCTATATTTTATCAAATGAAGGGATTTGAAATGATCAAGCTTCTTACTCAAGGATGTGAAAAAAATGATTAAATACCTAAGTGAAACTTTTATCATGAAACTAGTATGTATTCTATAATTAATGATAGATAGCTTGTTAACCCATAAACGATATCTGACAGTACTGGTGAACTGTGTAAGGCTGGGTGTGGGTTCTCAGAATATGTGCACTTATAAATTAATCTAGTTTAAAATGTCTCCAATTAAAAAAAAAAAACACTCAGCTCTCAGATTAAAAGATTTTATAACTAGATACAATTTAATTTCTAAATGAGCTTCCAATTCAACTGAGTCTGCATAAAATGTTTTTACATGACACTGAACACTTGCTCGTAGAAAAGCCGGTTATGAGATAGATGCAAGTTCATAGTAAATACCCGAGTTTGATGATAGAACTTAATTGCTCTTCTCATTTAAGTAGAATCATAATTTATTTTGGAACTTGAAATATAAACATTGATTTTGTATATAAATTAAAAATTATGTAATACAGAGATCAACAATGTGTTATTTATATAGCTGATGTCAAATACTTATAATAATTTCTTTATATATATGTACCCTGTATATTCCTTACCTCCACTAAAATTATAGTAAAAAGACAAAAAGAAGCCTTTAGAAACCTGGCAGTGTAACTCTGTGGTCCAGCATTTGTCTGTGGTCCAGGATTAAAAATGTATTAACCTTTAGGTATGTGTCACATTTTCTTTCCCTGTTGCTCTGATAAAAGCAACTTAAGAGAGAAAGGGCTTCTTTTAGCTCGCAGTTCAAGGCACAGTCCAGTATGGCAGGAATTCAAGGCATCATGAGATTGAAACAGCACATCACATTATGTCTGCAGGCAGAACAGCAATGAATACCTGTGTGCTGCTTACTCTCTCCACAGGCCAGGATCACAGACCCTGAGAATTGTTCCACCAACAATTAAGACATGTTTAACCACACCAGTTACTGTGATCAAAGGTAGTTTACCCATGGGCATGCCCACAGGTCAATCCAAGCTGCCCAAATTCCTCATGGCATCTTCCTCCCCAGCTAACTCTGGTTTCTGTCAAATTGACAATTAACACTAACCATCACAATATGTGTCTCACCTTCCTTGAAAATCATAAGCACAAATCTCTAAACTAAAGAATTTTCCTATAACTGAATTCATATTTAAAATTATTCAGCTATATCATATTGAAATTTAGGAAATTGTAAAATATCCAATTAGGGATGAAACAAACTATTTCATAATTAAATATAACAGATACTTTAAATATTGTCAAAATTTGTCATTTATTTTTATTTACTTTTGTCTTAGCCATCATTTTATATTATTTCTGTTCTTACACTGTAATTAACCTTTAATAGCTTAAATATAGATGCATTTTCCACTTTTCTTTTTTCGCTTTAGCTTCTCCTTTAATCACTCTCTCAGTCAAATATTAGTTGTTTTTAGAAGCTCACTTATCAGGGACACATAAAATACTAAAACCTTGCCTATCTTTTCTTCATTAGTTTATTTAACAAATGCCTATTTGCTACCCAAATTGTATTAAGAATTCTGTTAAGCGGTAAGTCAAAGAAAAAAGATGGCTATATTTCTGTATATGATACTAAATATCTGTGGACTTTGAGCAATTTTGTGAAAATATTTAATGATTATCCTAAATTTTTATGAATTCACTATATTTTAAACATGTTCATTAAAATGACTTGCAATATATATTCACATGTGGAAAAAACTCAGTCTATAAAAAATAAAATATTACGCACATTGTTAGCTGTGATTACAATACCAGGTTTGAAGTTTACTGAGCGTGTGCTCTATTATAATAAACAACATAAATGTTATGAAATGATAGTAAATTATTACTACTTGATAGAATTCATGTTTTTAAAGCTGGATTTTAAAGCACATAATTTTGTTTATGGATTTAAAAAAAATTTCCCCATCACTATTTTACAAGAAACACACCTAAGAATCCTTAAAAATACTTGAAATAGATTTAGACTGCTAAAAGACATCTTAAGTTATTTGTATTGATTAATTCCGTGTCATATGGACTTTACAAGTAACTGAACTGTTACTTATAGCACAATGACACAATCAGCATCCTTCTATGAATTAGCTGAGAACTCTTAGGAGTAAACATGAGGTTTGGATAGCACATTTTAGAAAAGGACTAGCCCTGTCTCAAGTTTCTTAACACTTGTTCTTAACTGACAGACAAAAAGAAGTCTTGGCTGAAATCGACTTGCACTTAGTTATAGTATCCTTTAGTCTTTACTCCTTTCTCCTTTGCATTGATCTAGTAATATCATAGAGAAATGGCAGTTAGTCATATTAAAAGATTAGTCAGGGCACCCACCGTTTCTATGCATAAGATGCCGTTTTCACCTTGCTTCAAATATTTCCTATATTAAACAACAGATACTATTAACATCAGTACTGTTTATAAAATGAGTGAATTTAAATTCCCATATATATTACAAACTCCTTTTTTTCCCCGACCAAAGTTGTCTGCAAGGCAGTCAGAGCTTCCTAAAATTCAGTATCCAAATTTTGGTGTAGGTACCTACCTATTAGGTTGCTACACAGCAATGAAAAACTGAGGGAAAAGCCTAAATGAAAGGAATGATGGTGCTCATGTTTCCCTCCAACAGGATTGATGTGACGTCAGCAGTCCCCAAGCCTGTCAAAATGTTGCATATTTAGTCCCTACATTGACATTTGAAAATGAAATGCAAATAAACTACACTAACACTATAGAAGTACTAACACTATACTAAAGAAGTAGAAGTACTAACACTATACTAAATTTTATAAGAATGTTGTTACACAGATATATTTTAGACTTATTAAATGAGCAGGAAAATGTGGCCACATGTAGGGAAAGTTTAAAAGAAGTCAAATAATATTGACTTGTTTCTTAAGCAGAGTAGCAAATCAAATAATAACTAATGTGCTAGGGCTGGAGAGATGGCTCAGCGTTTAAGAGCACTGACTGCTCTTGCAGAGGACCTGAGTTTGATTCCCAGCACCCACATGGCAGCTATGACCTGTCCTTAACTCCAGTTCCAGGGGAATTTGAAGCTCTGGAGAGATGGGTCAGTGGTTAAGAATACATACTGTTCTTCCAGAGGACCAGGGTTCAAATCCCAGCACCCGCATGGCAGCTAACAACTGTCTATAACTCCAGTCCCAGGGGATATGACAGCCTCTTCTTTCCTCCGTGGGCATTGCATGACACGGGTGTACTTAACTACGTGCAAGCAATACACTCATGCACATAAAATAAAATTAAAAAATTAAAAAAATAACTAATGTGCTGAATATATTTTAGTTTTCTAAATTAAAAACAATGTAGACTTTCTATGTTGTTTACTTTGTGTGAATTTTTTTAGAATATCAGAATATTAACTATTATATTACTAAGGCAGTAGAGAATGTTCTCTCAGAATCTGTTCAAAAGTATATTATAATAACTACCAGA